CTGCATTCAATTGGCAGGTGGTCTGAGGACGGGACTCATTTGGGATGCAGGAATGACTGAGCCTCTCCTTCTCCATGTGGTCGTTCCACGTAGTTTCTCCAGCAGGATAGCTGGACTTCTTACTCCCAAGAATGCAAAAGCAGAAGCTGTAAGGCTTTCTTAAAGTTTGTGGCGAGTACTGGCATAGTGTTACCTCCGTCATATTCTGTTGGTTAAAGCTAATCCTAACACCAGCCCACATTTAGGGGGAAGGGACTATACAAGGATTTGAATACTGCCAGGCCTGATTCATTGGGGCCACTAGTTTAACAGACTACCACAATTCCCTTAAACAGTTATTTGAATCAGAGTTTAGAAGTAGCCAACTCTGGGTTGGGCACGGTGGCTCAGGCCTATAATCCCAGCACTTTGGGAGGCTGAGCTGGGTGGATCATGAGGTCAAGAGATCCAGACCATCCTGGTCAACATGGTGAAATCCCATCTCTACTAAAAATACAAAAAATTAGCTGGGCATGGTGGCGCGTGCCTGTAATCCCAGCTACTCAGGAGGGTGAGGCAGGAGAATTGGCTGAACCTGGGAGGTGGAGGTTGCAGTGAGCCGAGATAGCGCCATTGCACTCCAGCCTGGGTAACAAGAGCAAAACTCCATCTCAAAATAAATAAATAAATAAATAAAAAGAAGTAGCCAACTCTTCACCTTTCTTTGTCTGAAAATGTCTTTAAGTTGCCCTCTTTGATGAATGAAAGCATAGTTAAAAGTAGAACTTTTGGTCCGTAATGATTTACCCTTCACATTTTGAAGATGTTATTCCATTGTCTTCTGGATTCTATTGTTGTGTCAAGTCTGCAGGCTGTTCAGTTGTTAATAAACTGCTCTTGCTCCCAGGGTCATGCAAGTGCCTCCTTAAATTTTGCATCCTTTGTGCCTCATTGCCTCATCTTTCTCCTGCCCCTGCTACCTGTTTGGTATTCTGTGAGCTCTTTCAATCTGAGGTCTTTGATCTTTCTTTAATTCTTAGATATATATCATTATTTTATCAAATGCTGCCTTCCCTTCCACTATTTCTTTTTAGTTCTAGTGTTGATACTTCCACCTTCCATGTCTCTGAGCTTTTCTTTAATATTTTTATCTCTTTATCTTTTCCTGCCTTCTGGGACAGCATCTCAGTCTGATTTTCTCGTTCATGATTCTTGTTTAGACCACCTATTTTTTTTGTTTCAACTGTTGTATGTTTTTATTTCTAACATTTTATATGATTCCTTTTTATGACCTGTTCTTGTTCATATTAACAATACCTTCTCTGTATCTTTGAGGATATTTGTTATGCTTATTTTAAATCCTTGGTGTATTGGTTCTGACACTTCTGCTTCACATAGTGTATGTTTTAAATTTTTCTTTCTTTTATGGTCAAACTTATGGTAGATCATGTTCCCCTAGGGGAATCAGTAGCCCTGTGCAGGCAAAAGCTGAAGACCAGGGTCTGGTTTGTGTGCCTCTCACTAAATATAAGGAAAGAAAATGAGGCTCAGGCTGGAAAGCTTCTTATACCACAAACCCTATTTTGACCATTGTTATTTGCTGTCACTCTACCAGGCTGGTCCTCTAGTCAGGAATCCACCCTACCACCCTTAAACTGTTTTTTAAAAGCCATCACTGACAGAAGGCAGTATTCTGATGCTTTTAATTCACCAGCATTGACAGTTGTTGCGGGAATGTTGGAGGAAGACATGCCCAAGGGGGCAACACGGACTCGTTTTCCTCAGCTCCTTTCCCTGGAGGAACTTCTGTGCTTTTCTGATATTACTGTGTTGACAACAGATGGCTAGGCAGTTGCTACCAGTTTCTGTGGCCCTGGGCAAGCATGATCTTCCCAAGGCAATGCGAGGGAAAGTCAAGGGCAGATTTTAAAACTCTCCCCCCACCTATTCTCTCTTGGCTGCATCTGACCTTCCTACCCTCCAGCCCAAACTGCCACCAACACTTTATACCAGTTCACTGAAGCCTTTGGGTTTCTCACAGTTTTTCTGAGAGTTCAGATTCCTGCTTCTTTCTCCTGCCATGGTTTCCCATTTGTCAGGATACAGAAGAGCTGACCCTTTGTTAACTTTGAAGACTACATAATGTAACCCTAGCATCCTAGAGACTTTATAAACACTGCCCTTAATTTTCACAATTCCAAAAGCAAATTATTATTTTCTTCATTTTAGAGAGGAGGAAATCAAATTTCAATGAAGCTCGGTGATTTTTTTTTTTCAAAGTCACACAACTAGGAAATGTGGTAAAGCCAGAATTTGAAAACATGTCTATCTTAACCCCAAATCCATGCTTTGGATACTTCATTAACGCCACCTGTTAATGCCTGCATTTAGAGCTACTACATTTTGTCTATCCACGAAGTTATGAAACTGTGTTCAAACATACTCATGTTCTGTGAGCTGGACCATGGTATTCATCAAAAAAATGGTCATCTTTTCCCACTTGGTAGAAAAAAATATAAGTTATGGATAGAATGTTCTCGGTGTCACACTTATTATATCTTTGCACTGTTTTCTGTGTGCTAGCAAGCCCTAAAAGAAAGGTAATAATTAAGTAGAACATGAGTTTTGAGCAGTTGATTGCAATTAGAAATCAAGAAAATGTTAACAGTTAACTTTTTTTTATACTGCCGACTGGGAAAAGATTGCCATTTTATATCATGTAATGTATAAGTATTTGAATACTCATCATTCTTTTTTTTTTTTTTTCTTGAGACGGAGTTTCGCTCTTGTTACCCAGGCTGGAGTGCAATGGCGCGATCTCGGCTCACCGCAACCTCGGCCTCCTGGGTTCAGGCAATTCTCCTGCCTCAGCCTCCTGAGTCGCTGGGATTACAGGCACGCGCCACCATGCCCAGCTAATTTTTTTCTGTATTTTTAGTAGAGACGGGGTTTCACCATGTTGACCAGGATGGTCTCGATCTCTTGACCTCGTGATCTACCCGCCTCGGCCTCCCACAGTGCTGGGATTACAGGCTTGAGCCACCGCGCCCGGCCGAATACTCATCATTCTTGCTAATAAAATTAGTTTATAACAATGTCTGAATATCAAAGTGAATTCATTAATGCTTAATAAATGTAAACTTACTAACATATTTTTTTCTTATGCATTCTCCTAATTTTAAAGGTCTGATTTTTTTAAATTAAATTTTATTTTTTAATAATTAATATATGCATATAGCACAAAATTCAAATGGTACAAAAAGATATACAGTGAAAACTGAACCCTCTTCTCCCCACTTCTGTTCTCCAGTCCCCTAGTTCTCTTTCTCTACAATAACCAGTGTTAGCAGTTTCTTACATTAGCATTTCATAGATATATTAGGTGTATATAAACTCCTATGTACATATTTTTTAAGGGAGAAATTATTTTCCTTGATAGAGTTTTACTTCACTAAACTTTTTTGATTACGGGCAATAGTACTGAAAGTTGCTCTGATTCTTTAAATAATCTTCTCTGCGGCCAGGTGTGGTGTCTCACACCTGTAATGTTAGCACTTTGGGAGGCTGAGGCCAGTGGATCACCTAAGTCCAGGAGTTTGAGACCAGCCTGTCCAACATGGTGAAACTCTGTCTGTACTAGAAAAAAAAAATAATAATAATACAAAAATTAGCCTGGTATGGTGGTGGGCCCTGCAATCCCAGCTACTCAGGAGGCTGATGCAGGAGAATCGCTTGAACCCAGAAGGCAGAGGTTGCAGTGAGCAGAGATCGCACCACTGCACTCCAGCCTGGGTGACAGAGTGAGACTCTGTCTCAAAAAACAAACAAACCAAAAACCTTCTCTGCTGAAAATAAAACTAAACTGAGTTTTAAAAATTATTTAAGATGTTAAACATACATGGAGCCGAGACGAATATAATGAACTCCTGTATACTTATCACCCAGATTAAAAGATTATTTAAAAGTGATTTTTTTTTCTTGAAACAGAGTCTCACTCTTTCACCAGGCTGGAGTACAGTGGCATGATCTCGGCTCACAGAAACCTCTGCCTCCAGGGCTCAAGCGATTGTCCTGCCTCAACCTCCCAAGTAGTTGGGACTACAGGCACGTGCCATCACGCCCAGCTAATTTTTGTATTTTTAGTAGAGATGGGGTTTCACCATATTGGCCAGGATGGTCTTGATCTCTTGACCTCATGATCCGCCCTCCTTGTCCTTAAAAGTGATTTTTAAAGGATTTAATGATCTTACAAATTTTCAGAGTCTCTGTTATTGGGTGAAATGAAAAGAATTATTGTTCAACTACAACTGCAGCAGCCCTAGAGTCTTCCGATGTATTCCCTAAGTGCTGGCTTCGGCATAGAGTTTCTAGTCCATGGCCGTAGCCACTAGGCCACAGCTATAGATACAACACAGAATTTCTCATACTCTTTCTAGTAGTAAAAAGTTAACAAATTATAGTAATGCTTTCCCTAAAACTTATTGGTATCTGTGTAAAAAGCATAGTGGTGTAGTCGTGGCTTACTGCAGCCTTGAACTTTTGGGCTCAAGAAATACTCCCACCTTAGCCTTCCAAATAGCTGGGATTATAGGCACATGCCATCATGCTTGGCTAAGTTTTTGTAGTGTTGGGGTCTCACCATCTTCCCCAGGCTAGTCTCTAACTCCAGGATTCAAGCAATCCTCCTGTCTTGGCCTCTGAGGGCATGCTGGGATTACAGGCATGAGCCACCATGCCTGGCCATATTATTGTATTAATATTAATATTAGTTTTTAAAATTACTAATAATTCCACACATGGAGCTAATTTGGCTATTTTGATTTGGTTCTTTTCATGGAGAAAGAATGGTGAATCCATTATATTTATTATTTAGATGTGTATAAATAATCTTGCATACTTAAAGAATTTATTTTGTTACCATATTTTATAAAGCATATTATTAATACTGATTATATTTCCATAAACAATTCTAATTTTTGTCCTGACTTCACAAAATCTTTTTTTTTTTTTTTTTTTTTTAGTTCCACTTGTCTTTCCTGGTACATCAGAACTTCAAAACAATTTTATAGAATACATCTCTTTTATACATCAATATGATGCCAGGAAAACTCCGAATGAGCCTCTCTGGGGAAAGGTGAGACAATATTTAGAATTAATTATTTAATATTTTAAGACAGAGTAGATTTGTAGTAGAACTTTATGCCTTTTCAAGTCATAATTACCTTTCTAAAAGCCTATTTAAACAAACGACTGTAGTTATTAATAGAATCTTAGTCACATGCCATAGTAAAATGTAAGGAATAAAATTATCCTGGTATGGTGGTGCCACCTGTAGTCCCAGCTACTCAGGTGGGTGAGGGGGGAGGATTACTTGAGCCCAGGAGTTTGAGGCTGCACTGAGCCATAATTGCACTATTGTATTCCAGCCTGGGTGACACAATGAAACCTCATTTCAATCAGTCAATAAAAACATAATAATTTGAACCAGTATTTGGAATTTGGTCTACTTACTGAAATAATTTGTGTAAAATAATATCAAAACATGCTGGATACAGTGACTTGATGCCTGTAGCCCCAGCTACTCTGAAAGCTGAGGTAGGAAGATCACTTGACACCAGGAGTTTGAGGCCAGCCTGGGCAACATAACAAGGCCCCTTTTCTAATAATAATAATATCAAAACAGTTTGACAAATGTTTGGATAGGCTTAATACGTATGTGTGGCAGGGAAATGCATACATAAGGTTTATAAAGCCAAACAGGAATGTAATTGTCAATTATTGGATTTTTTCCAACTATAGATGTTTGCTTTCATATTTCATTATTACTTAGCTTTCCATTAGCACTAATAAACATTTGGGATGCAATCATAAATTCTTAGGTCTATGAACTGTAGTTTTTGTTGGACCCATAGCAATCTTTAGAGCAAGAAATGAAATTTGATGTGAGTAGTCTTATATCGTCCAAACGATAAAAAAGTTGAGAATTGAAGACAATGAGCTGCTGCTTCTTTGACTTTCTGCTTTTTCCCTTCCTGTTCATTTTCTGATGCACCCTATTTTATAATCTACAAGGTTCACCCATATATGGTGGTGTCTAATTTGGAGCTAAGGTGACACCAATGAAGAGGCAGAGAAGTGCGTGCCTGCATCAGTCACTAGGACTTGAGCTAACCCACAAACTCAGTTCACAGCTGCATCTTCCAGCAATTTCTGTTCTCCCTGGTTAATGTCAACTTTGTTTTCTTTTTTAGAGACATGGAGCTTTTGTACAGAGAGAGATAAAACCAGGGAGTAGGCCAACAGTTCCTAAAGGAACAGAGGTATTACTGAATGCTCCAGGGTCACGTTCATCAGAACAGTCAAAAAAAACAGAGAAAGGAAACTCAGCGGAAAGCAGAATGATCTCACCATGTCTCTGCCAACAAAATTCCCAAGAGCTGTTAGAGACTAAAACTCACTTATCAGAAACAGACTTCAGACAGGCAGCCAAGGCGTGCCCCAGCAGTCCTGAGAGCAGAGAAAAGACCACAGGCGCCACTCAGACAACTGAAGGAGATGTTCTTTTCACCAGGCACAAGCCTCTAAATCCAGCAATTAAAAAATCAGAATAAATTACCTTCTTCCGATAAAAGTATAATCCCTGGAATATAGGGGAATTTCACAATCCTCATCTTGGCCCTCACATTTACTTTTTTTTTTTGTTATCAATAACCTCAGAGCATACTATTTATGTAAATGGAAAAAGAGAAAAAAAGACAATTAGAATACAACCAAATGTTATTAATAAAAGTGATCTCCATTAAGTGACTGAGACATTGTTTCCACATCACAGTCTTTATAAACACAACTTTGTTTTGCACAAAAATGAACCTAATTAACAAATATAACAAGACTTTTAGAAGAGAGGCCCTGTTAGACGATCGTGAGTGACAGCTTTGGAATCTAAAAAACTGGAGATGGAATGCTTGCTTCACTTCATTCCTTGAGCTGTGTGACCTTGGGTAAGTTACTTAACCTCTCTATACTTCAGTTTTCTCAACTGTAAAATTAGGAAAATAGCAACTTTATAAGATTATTGAGCATGAGATTATGCATGTCGACCAATAAGTGGTCAATGTAATCATATCATCACTGCTACTATAATTCAATTTTCAATTTAAGGATAATGTTCTCCTACATATTTAAATTTTCCTCCTTATTCTAAAACGTAGAACTCTTCCATATATAATTAAGAGTGTGAAAATCTAAAAATATTTCTGCCAGTACAAGATGCACACACACAGACACAGACACACACATACGTACACGCTTAATCCAAAGACATATGGGTACTTAGAATATTGAAGTATTTTCCAAATTGTTTTCTGTTTTACTCAGATCATTTCTAGCACCAACTACCTTTGCTTTTTGAATGAGTTTG